GCATACAGGCATGCGCACATTCGCGCACACACAAATACACACAATGGACAGAGGGAAAAAAGTAATGAACTACCATTAGCAACTGTCATCGCATATGAGCCAACTAAGATGCAGAATTCTACCTTATCCTGGGGCAAATATATACACTAATTTAAAAATGAGTAGCTTAGTATTGGGCAGGCAAAATGACCCTTAGAATTCAAGCTTCTATAAAATGGCAGAATTCCTATGTAGAGATGGCCGATCCAAAGTCCATTTTTTTTATTGTGATATATATTATGATATACTATCATAAGTGCAGATGAGGGAAGTGTTATTACATCTTTTCTAATCGCTTTTTGAAGAACAGGATGACACTCATGGTGGGAGGCAGATTATACAGTTAGGAAGATTTTAACAATTCAGCTCTTTAGGAAAAGATCTCTTAATAACACCATACTGCTTTTTTAATCTGAAGAAGAATTCGCCTGGTGTTCAAAGTCCTCCTGTAGATAAATGTCTTGATTTGTTTCTAAGGCCTCATCAGTCTAAAGATTTCAAAATAAGGGCAATTCGAAGGACCTCAGTGGGGTCAAGTGCAAAATCTTTTCCTGACTGTGTTAGCTACTGTCACCGTATTCCCTCACCTCTCTGTGCCCTGTGCTACCTCTATTTTATCTGCAGTGTGTCCACTGTTTAGCATGCGTTTGCTCTTTGTGTTAGGACCCTCTCTATCTTTCACCCTCAGAATAAAGACCCGTTAAAGAAGGCTCTGTGTTACTCGATGCTGTGAACTCAGATTCTAAATCAGGACCTAGAACATGGCACCACTAAACATTTCACTAGAAAATAATAGAATAAATGAAAATACCCTTTGATTCGCACAATCGCTCTTCTCTATATTAGCTTCCTAAAGCTGTCAAATCACTAGATTTCCATAAACCTCATCTCTAAAATGAAAATTTTGGTCTTTTAATCAGGACACCTGAGTGGCCCAGTTGAACATTGGATCACTCTTTGAATCATGCAAAGATTGAGCCATGAATATTTTTTTCTGGTTTGCTTCAAGTTATATTTTTGTATAATCAATATGTCAGGAAGTGGGGGCTTTATTTGGAGAAGATTTTTTTTTAAATATGGTCAGTGTGCAGAGCATTTACTTTGGTTTCAAAAAGACACCAGTATTTCACATTAATCAAATACTAATGAAACCAGAAAGGGGGAATATGTAAAAAAGAAATACAGATAGACTGAATTGTAATAAAAAGTAAAGTATTGAGGGCTGTTGTGCGAAATGGGTGCCTGTCGCAGTGAGGTGACTATGGTTTAAGGGGGTTTTCTATAGTGCTGGCCACATCGCAGCTTCTCATCTGAGTATGTACTTCTCAATGACCTGTTTTGCTCTATATTTTTTGTTTGTTCCTATATTGTAAAGCATGATTAAATACTTTGAAAAAAATACCCAAGATGGTTGTATGATGAGGATGGTGAGAGAGAAATGTGATCATGATGGCTCCCATAATATTCTATTATTTTGTCCATTTTATTCTTTCTTCCTTTCTTTGTGTGTATTGAGAGAGAGTTGGTCAGTCTGTCTGTGTCTGTCTGTCTGGTATTGGAGAATAAATCTAGGTCTTCACACATGCCAGACAAGTGCTTCAAGCAGAATTACATCCTTAATGCTCTTATACTTTCTTTATGAGTCATCAAATAGTTTTATTTTGCTCACTAAGTTGCGAAAGTTGGCCTTGAAATGGCTCTGTAAGATGGCCCTGCTAGTATATAGTCTTCCTGAATCAGTTTCTCAAGTGCTTGGGATTACAAGTGTTCCCCCACCACACCCATCTTCCTAATGTTTTTATTCTGTCTTCTCTTCTCCCTCTTCTTTATTCTCCTTATGCTGCCAAGATGTGAAAATAACACCTCACACATCTAACAAGCATAATCCCTCTGGGGTATATCCCTAGATCACAGACTCTTTTCTATTTGGCTTTTTAAAGGGACATTTTAGTACATTACAATTTTAAATTTGAATTACTGTGCAAGAAAACTGTGCAAAAATGTGTCTGATGACTGCAAGAAATTCTTATTTTTTTATGTTTAAACTATGTAATACTTGAAAAACAAAACATTTGTTTTTTTCTAAATATTTATTTCCCTTTAAAATTGTATGTCTATTAGTCTGGGTGTCTGTGCTGAGGTCATTCAGGTACTGCAGAAGCCAGAGTGGGCTTTGGATATCTGGGAGCTGGAATTAGAGGCAGCTGTGAGCTGCCCACCTTGGGTGCTGGGACTGAATTCAGGTCCTCTGCAAGAGTAGTAGTTACTGAGCCATCACCAGCCCGTAACATTTATCAATATAAAACCACTGTGCCTTAAGTGTGGGTATTCAGCCCAACATTGTATGTTAAGTGTCACTTTGAAATTCTGCTGTTTGAATCAGGTGATTAAAATGTTGAGCATATAATTGTTATGAGTGAAAAAAAATGTGAAGAGAAATAAGAATTCAGAAGGAAAACCATTTGGAGTTATTAGGATTGGGGGAGTATGTTGTGTGAGCTATTAGCATTGCTTTTCTAAATTGGAACCAACCATTAAAAATATTGGAATCAAATTCTGTACTCTGGCCTACAAATTCTTCCCTAAATCCCTGTGAAGATTTAGCCCACAGGAAATCCCAGGCAGAGGTGCGAGGAGCAGGGAGAGCAAGTCCTTTAGCATCTCATACTCAGAGCTCCTGAGCTGAGCTCTGCTCTACTGCTCCAACACCAGGTAGACCCCATGCTAATCATTAATCTAATCTAATCCCCAACCTGCAGGTGGGATCATTAGCTTTCACTTTAAGCCTGCAGTGAGACTAAATGGCACATCTGCAACCTTCCCAGTTTACTATAGGTGCTCTGTAAACCCCGCTTTTCTTAGTGACATATTCTTTACATAGGAGGCTTGGCTGACTTCTGAGGATTCTCAGCCCTTTCCCCTGATGACTTGGGGAACTCTCCCTACAAGTTTTAGCCTACAAGTTTTTGCTAACTTTTCATGGGGTTTCACAGCACAACTCTCATTCTTTGTCTTGATGACAGCTCCTGAACCGAAAACTAAGGAGACTGTCACTGTCTGCCACCTGTGTGTGGTGTGAATTGAGACAACTAGAATGCCCATGTCGCACTACCTCTGGCAGTAGCTTCCACTCAGGTTTCCCAGCCTAACGTCTAATTCAGGGGTGCTTTCTTAACTCAGCTCAGTGCTGTATGAGCACACAAATGAACCGCATCAGGGATGAGAGCCGGGACACTGCCATCCAACCTTTTGGCATTATGACATGACTTGTGGACTTGTGTTGTGTGACCCTATTCCCAGGGAGACATGAACAAATGCCTGCTCACCCCAGAAAGAGACTGACAACAGACAAAAGTAATGCTTCATCCAAAGTCCAATTCGGTGGACCACTGAGCTTATTGGGGTTTGTTGGGTTATTGGGTTGGCCTTGACAACCCAGAGGCAGCTGTATCATCAAAGGCTGCCCTAGCATGGTGACAGCTCAGGAAATATGGAACCTTAAAGTTTTCTGCATGGTTTACAGGCGGCTCAGCAGATTGGACAGTCCCTCTTCTAGGCAGCTCGGAAAAACTTCCTCCCTTGGCGGTTGTTCACTGTATCTGTAACCTTCAGAATGTCCCCGTGAATCTTTAAATTTCAGTTCTCCCAGACCTAATAAGGTTTTTACCTCCTCATTGTCATGAGCCCTTTCCAAGGTGGAATTAGAGGGACTGCTGCACAGTATCCTGCCATGTACAGCTCCGTTGGGGTGCAGTGATCACTATCCGGAACACATATAGCCTTTTGGCCACAGGTAGACATGCCTGGACCATTACATCACCAGGCCTCTCTCAGTCCCATGGCACAGCCCCTTCACACTGAAAAGCTATGCCTGACCCAGGGTGGCTCAGGCTGAAAGCCAATCTGTCCTTGGTCACAGAGGCCTTCTCTGATTCACTCCTGACATATCTGTGAAGTGGCAGCTTTCATAAACATCCAAGTACCCATCAATTTGCTTTCCCGTCCAAGCGTTACCCAGGGACAACCCTGCTTGGCTTCTGAGATCAGATGAGTGTGGGCGCATTCAGGCTAGTATGGTTGGCAACATATTAATCTCCTCAGTAGCGAATTTCTTTCGGGCCTTGGCATCATGCTTTTCCTTCTGAATATACAATCATTCATCAAAATAGAAATTATACAAGTTGACTAGAAATACATCTAGTATATCTGCAAGCACAGATCACAGGGTGAAAATTATGTCTCCCCTTAATGTAGAAAAGATAACCTTAATTTTGGTTCTTTAGATCTTGCAGGAGTGCATGTATTAATTTCAAGAAACATGAATCTGCTAAAATTGTATGAAAGATGTTATAGGGTTTACATAATGTGCATGAATTATACTGGATCTTAAAAGAATAAGATAAAAAATACATTCACAATTGTGGTAAACCTGTTTGCATGAATTTAGCCTAGACCACCAGCTTTGGAAGGTAATTCTTTTTTGCAATTGACCAATCCTGATTTTTGGTGTTTTCTAAACTCTGCTTGCCTTGCCTTGCATGCATCTTCTCCCTTAAAGCTTCATAATGTTCTGCTTGGTCCTGATGATACTACATATACCCTGCTAACCCAGTGAGTTCTATTATTATTTAACTTAAATGCCTAACATTTAGATTCTCTCTGTCTCTGTCTGTCTGTCTGTCTGTCTGTCTCTGCTTGTTCTTTGAGACAAGATCTCACGTAGTCCAGGCTGGTTTTGAACTCACTGTGTAGTTCAGGAAGGATTCTTTGAAGTCCTCTTGATCCTTCTGCTTCCATATTATAGGAATGTGTCATCATGCCTGTCTAGCTTTGTTGCATTTCTAGATAAATAATAAAGTCTATAGTACAAGGACTATAAGGCTTAAAGAAACTAATACATTGCTAAGATAATAAATTTCTGTGTGTTACACAAAGTTCTTTCCTTCTTGTCTTCTCTGTAGGTCGGAAGTTTAAGAAGTTCAATAAGGTCCGAGTTATGAGAGCCCTCGATGGTGTTGCTCTTCCTCAGTCGGTGGGCCTCCCCAATGAGAGCCAGGCCCTGGGCCAGAGAATTACCTTTTCACCAACTCAAGAAATACAGCTGGTTCCCCCACTCATCAACCTGCTCATGAACATTGAGCCTGATGTGGTCTATGCAGGACATGACAACACCAAACCCGACACTTCCAGCAGTTTGCTGACCAGTCTCAATCAACTAGGCGAGAGGCAACTGCTCTCAGTAGTCAAATGGTCTAAGTCCCTGCCAGGTAATTTGTACATGATAACATGCCTTAAAGGATATTACGTTTGTGGCACTCGCTGAATGTTAAAACAGTCTGGACAATCAGTCAACCGCCATGTAAAGAGCACATGTTTTAGCAATTCAAAATGCTTGCTAAATCTCACAGGTGTGCTTGGTTTGGTTGGTAAAGCACTAGGTTAGCATGCATAAGCCGTGGGATCACTCCTCAACAACACTTGCACACACAAAGACTCACACAGACTAGGGAATACAAAAGGAGTAGAGCACACATTGAGGATGGCTGATAACGAACTACATGAAGCAGTTAAGGAACAGTGTGAGTGTATGTGTTAAACCACAACTATAGCAATTCAGGAAAAAGACATGTTAGCTGTCTCCTTACAGTGTCTAATTCATTCTAAAACCTGACTGAAGCTCTGAGTCTGTTAAAGACAAAATCAACTGTGCCTATTCATGTAACAAATCAAAGCAATACTCAGAGAACCTATAATTTCTAACATCAGTGAAGAATACAAAATTCCTGAAGTTAATAAGGAATTTGGAAAGACCGATGGACTTCTCTCATCACCCCGAGGGAAGAAGGACATAGTCCACCTAGAGTGAGAACCCGTGTGTTTTCATGGAAGGATTTTACTTATTTTACCAGCAAGATTTATCCCCCAGTACAGCTTTTTAAGAGCCAACTGGCTGGTAGAATTGTAAGGATGAATTTCTCACTTGGTTGAAACATAGATGGCAGAGACAGGTAAAGGCTAGCAATTGTTTGTGTAGGCCTTAACCTCATGATTAGAAGCAGAATAATTCTTTTAAATATAGTGTGCTCCACACACCAATAACATCCTTGTATTGTTAATTTTTCTGACACACGGTCAAGAACTAAACACATTATGTCCTCCTTGAAATTTAATAAGATTTTTTTTCTTTTCTTTTCTTTTTTTTTTAAAGAATTCCTTCCCAATTTGCCCGAATACATTTCTTGGCTATTATTCTACCTGAAAGGTTTGAGATATAATAGATGAATTGTAAGTGAACATCCAAGGTTATCTGAAACAGAAAACTGATTCTTGTTTGTAGACCTTCAAAGGGATATGTGTTGAGAAAGGTTAATAAAACTTGCTATTCTAATGGGGATGAAGTCATTGTATAGATGAGTCAGAGTCTCCAAGTTTTCATTCACTGACATTTCATTGTAGCTGACAGGCCTTGGGCAGGTAACTTTTTCTATCAGAAAAAGTTTTGAATGTTTGAATATTTACAGTGAAGTGGCTTTCAAATTTGATAGATCTTTACTAAGCAAATGTCATAATAACATTGGTAGAATAATTATGTTTTAAAAATGGGTGTTTAGCTGTGATTTTAATTGTCTGCTTCCATTATTTGGAAGTGGTGATTTCCTTGGCTGTCATCACTATGGTTCATTATTACTTTTGCTTGCATTTTTTTTGGAGGCTCTTTATTGTTTTAGAAGATTTAACATTAGATGGTAAATTTTAAAAAGGAAGCAATTTAAAAGAACATTTATTCATTTTTGATAAAAGCTGCTTTTCAGTTAAAATGTTTATGTATCAAGATATTTTGACCTCTGTACAACCTTGAAAAATAATGAGAAGAAAACTGTGTATTGAATTTGGTAGCAACTTTTTAAGGGTTGCAGAACATAATTTATGTGTGGCAAATCAAAGCAATGTCCACATCTTTCTGAGCCCCTCTGTTTCGGTTAATGCTGCACAAGAGTAACACTGAGATGGTTAAGAGTTTGTGCAGACGGTGCCCTCTTTAAACCATATTTGCAAACAGCGAATGTAAAAGGAACACTACAAAATGAGTGCAGAGATGGTCGAGGAGCCAGGAACTGATTTTCCTCTGTGAAGAGCTGATAGAGATATGCATTGCTCTTGTTCTTGTTGCCTTTCTGATTGCTGTAAAGCCCTAGCAGAAGTAACTTACAGAAGCAAGGTTTTGTTTTAGCTCATAAGAGGTACAATCTGTCACAGAGGGGAAGGCACAGCGGTAGGAGCCTAAGGTGACTGGTCACACTGTGCCCTCCGTCAGGAGGGAGAAAGAGATGAATGCTAGTGTGCTTTTACCTTTGTGTCAGATCAAGAATCCCGGGCATAAATGATGACACTGATGTGGAGTGGATCTTCTCTCTCCATTTAATGCTGTGGAAATGTCCTTACAGACAGGCCCAGGGGTTTGGCTCCTAACTGGTTCTAAATGTGGGCAAGTTAGCAATTAAGAGAGGTCATCACCATGGGCCAACATTAGATACTCTGAACTAATGTCAGTTGCACCTAGACAAAGGCACCATTCTTATCCAGTGACTCACTGAATGCCTACCACATACCTGCTGAGTGAGGAGCCCAGCAATTAAAGAGTGCTGCTGGGATAAAAGGCCAGACGGCAGGCTCACAGAATGAACACAATGATGTAGCACACCTTTGCATCCGGGCACAGAAGAGAAATTTATTTTATTCAGTTACTCATTTGCAATGATATCATTAATTGAGTGAAAAATGGACTTTCGTTAAAGGAGCCTTAACAATAAGCCAGACTGTGAAATTACATAGTAACGGTGAAAAGGGAGCTGCAATTATCACTGTACATAGGCTGTTGGAAAGCCGGTTGACAGACCAGCTCATGCTTTTGAGGCAGTAAAAAGCACATCAAAGGTGGATGAAAAGCACACGTTCAGAAGTGACTCCATCAGTGAGGGCTCTGGGCATGGCTCTGCAGGTGTTGCTGGGTTCTTTATTTTCCAGACAGTTTCCTTTCCTCCTCTTTGTCTTCACTCTCATTGTCGCTGACCTGTTAGCATATTTACAGCTAATTTTACTTCTCTCCATTAATATTTCGGAGATGTTTTTTTAAAATGTGGTTGGAGCATGTAAGATGCCATCAGCCTCAAGGCGTCATATTTATAAACCACCACATAGATACATGCCATTTGACATTTAGCATCTGGCTATGAACGACTTTATGTAGGATTTTATCCCTTCTTCACTGAACACTGTAATCCTGGTTAAAGTATGAAGTAATGTGTCATCTACAAAATTTTAAAGCTTAACAGTACACATTTCCTCTATTTAAGAAGTTTCAGCCCAGAAAGAGATCTTTGACACCTAACAATAACATAAGACACAAGAGTAGAGGACATAGGAACAGATGAATACTTTCAGCACTGGGCTCTGAAGGGACGAGAAAGGAGATTTAATCAGTTGTGTAAAAAGAAAGCTCTTTGATTAGCAGAATCAGTGCGCCTGCAGGGAAGTAAAGGAAAACTGTGAGTAAAATTTGGTTAGCAATAAACTGAGAGAAAAAAACAGATAAAAAAACAAAGACAGGAGGCAGTGACTCTCCATCTTTAAAATTTGGGAATCCTAAATAACATCAGAAGTTGAGTTTTTCAGTGACCCACAGGACCACAGTGAAAGGTTTAGTAGTTACTGAGAAAATGCATCTGTGTAGATGAGCTCTTGAATAGTGCGGGAGTAAGTGCTGGCCTTCTGAGGATTTCACCACCCAGTTATATAGAAACAAATGGCAATACATTTATTTCGGGATGAGTAGTGGAAAGTAATGGCAGAGATGAAAAGTATAGGGTGGTCGAGGAGGGTCTTGAGGTCATAGTAAGACCAAAATTAAGTCAGTACTCATTCAAAACTGAAGTTTGCCTTCTCTATCAGCAAATTGTAGAAGAATTGAAACAATAAAGGAGTATGGGGCAAACATTTCTTCATTATGAATTTGGCCGGAGGTTTCCTCTTACTTGGTGAAGTACCTATCCACAGCCATGCTGTGACATCCTAAGTATCGCACATTTGAGTGTGTCTTCTCTTGGTTTCAATTAGCCAGGCTGAGATAAAGACCTGATCACAGAGGCAATGTTGCCTTCATTTCCTAGCTCTGAAGTATGAGTCAGTGGCAGTGTGACAAAGGACTTTTTTTCTTTCTTCCCAAATAAAACGAATAATTCAAATTATTGCCTTCAAAATGCGATGAGAGAGGAATGAAACTGCCTGCTAGGAGTCAAGTTAGGCCTGACCGAAGCTTCAGTGAAGACTTTCAAAATTCATCGTCTAACTTTATGTCACTGAAATTACCATCACCTCTGTTGGCTTTTGAACTCATCAAGCTGCATGTCTGTTCTCAGCCCATGACCCACGTCAGTGCCTGTGGGGCTATGGGCAGAGTAAGTGCTTCCAAGTGAAACCCATCCTTTGGCAGCAGCCACTTTCCTCCCAGGAAGATGATTTCTCCCACAAGTTTTTAGTTATTGTGTATTTGTCCACCCACCCACACTATCCATTCTCCTGTCCTGAGTTCTGTCCTCTGTTTGGCTGGCTTATCAGGCTCCATATTTTGGATGAGCATGTTTGCAGCCTGGATGTGCTCGCTCCATTCCAATGACTCATGAATAATGGCACCATCCAGCCCCTTCAATCATGTATCCCAAATGCTCCTATCACATCTCTACCTGGATGGCCTCCCAACTCAACATGACCACACTGTTCACATGCCAAAACCATTTTTCTGCATCCTGAAACAACACCTCAGTCAGCCCCTTCAGCATCATCTGTGGCTCTCTCCTCCCTCATTCCCTGCCTGAGTGTTATTAATTGTATCAATACCTCTTATCAATACGAGGCTCACTGTAACGCCACTTCCATGGATGCTGGACCAGCTTAGTTTGTTCATCACCCTTTCTTTGTTTACCTGGGCTTCAGTTCTCAAACAATCCTCTATTCTAACCCAAGAGTCATCTTTCTAAAATAAGTGTAACCAATCCTGTTTCCCTTTTCTATTTCAGAATAAAGTCTAACCTCTGTGGCCTTAAAATCCAAATCCCTTCTGTAACCCAGTTCCCTCCCCTTCATTCCACCGAATCTGAGGCACAGTTGCTGAAAGCTTCTTTGCTCCATTTCCCATCCCATTCTCTTCCCATGTTGCTTTCTGTATCTGGTGCTTTTCTTTAGTCACATCTTCTCCTGGCTGCCTCCCAACTACCCTTCAGCATTCACACTCAATAATCTGTCCTGCATCTTCCCATATTGAACCCCAACACTTGGGAACAGGCAGAGGCAGGGGAGGGCCTTAGGTTCAAGACCAGCCTCTACTACAAGTAAGATCCTATCCCCAAAAAAGACAAATGAAAAGATGCAGAAAAAGTGAGGGATTTATAATAAAGAGCTAAGTTATCTTAGATAAACTCTAATGTTCTTGCTTATACCAAGCCATTGAATGTGTTGGTGATGCATCACCTGTGCCTCTCTGTGATCTGAAAATGCACACACATGTTGACATTTATATCTTGTAATTCAAGGCCCTGAGATGTGTGGTGCTTTGCCTTGGTTGAGATTCACTATTTAACTATGCTACACTGTTCTGTTTTGTTTTAAAACAAAGGTACAACTTGTACATTTTTATCAGAACCTTGGAAGTCACAGAAGGTCTCACAAGCCATCTATTGTCCTCTACTTTATCTTTTTTTTTTTTTTTAAGCATTGAGAATTTGACAATTCACAGCCATTTTTTTAAAGAATTATTAGGTCAAGACACTTAAAGAGAAATACATTTTTTTACACTACTTGTTAAGCACAATTAGGAACAATCCATCACTTCCCTGTGACTAGGTTTTCCAGCTGATTATCATCTCAAACGCACTAAATTTCTGTAATCATTATCACCACAGGAATTTGATGTCTGTGTTCCTGGCTTTGTTTCGGTATAAAATGATGGAATGGTATTGCAGTTAATGGGGGGAAACATTGGACTTCTGAAGCAGCCATGTTCGAGTCAATTTAACATTGGATTTTTTCCACAGATAAACCTCTGTATCTGTGGTTATCTTCTGAGTTATTAGATGGAAACTTATGTTCTGCTATGAATGTTAGTAACTGAGTAATCTTTGAAATATTTCAATAAAAGTGATGTTTTTATACCATGAGAAAGTAAACATGCTTCTTTATTTCAAGACATTGATGAATCTAGAATACAAGAATGAGACAAAAAATTCAAAACAAAGATAGAGTGAATACAAACATAAACAGAATCTGATTAGCAGAAGAGAAAAAAGAATCATAGATGTATAACTTTGTAAAATTTTACAACGAGTCAGAGAGTAATATAAAGTGACCTAAAATGAAAAAAATCTAGTAGTTATATCAAATATCTAGATATTTTGAAAACATATTAGAAAGTTTAGAAGTGAACAGAAATATTATATAGAATAATGAATGAATTACTAGAGATCATAATGAACATTCTGTTAATATTTTAATATGTCTAATTAATTGAATTTTACTTTCTACAAGTCTGTCATTTTACATATAATAAAATTCATATACGTATATGATACAATATGATAAAATAACATGCAACTAAAATTCTGAAAAATCTTCCAAATTTACAATTTATTAAAATGCTTATTTGTATATTGATATGTAACTTGTATGATGCTGTTCATATATTTATACACATTTGCACATAGAATCATATTTGTGTATGTGTGAAGGTCAGCCGTTGACACTGAGTATCTGGCCAGCTCTTCTCCACCTTATGTTATGACAGGGTTTCTTATTGATCCTGTCTAGACTGTCTGTCAGCGAGCCCTAAGGATTCACGTGTCTCTATGTCCCCTTAGCTCTGGTAATATGCAACACAACATACCTGGCTCGCTTTATATGAGTGCTGGGAATGAAATATCAGTTCTTCATGCTTTGCTGACTGAGGTATCATCTCAGGCTAGTGGGGCCTAATTTGTCTTCTGAATTTATTGCCATTCACAGTATTTATATTTTAGTTATATTTGTTTTCGGTAACATAAAGAAAATGCTTTCTAGCTTATAATTTTGATCTCATTTTGTTTGGGGCATATTTTTTCTTTCTTTTTTTTTGAATATATTGTTATTTTGATACAGGTTGTCACATAGACAGAGCTGGCCTAGAACTTACTCTGTAGCCAAGGATAAACTTGAACTCTTGATCCTCCTCCTCCAGCTACTCAGTGCTGTGATTACAAGAGTGAATTACTATGTGTGGATCACTTGTTTTTTAACTAAAGATTTCTGCTCAGATTGGTTAATGACTTTTTTATAGCCATTAATCCAATGAGTGGTCTGTTACAGGATCTGTTGTTGGGATAACAAGTATTTGCTTATTCCTCAACAGAATGAACAGTTATCCTGAATCTTTAGCAACTGGTTGAATTTATAAAGTTATCTTTACTCTTATGGCTTTATTCAAGGTAACATTCAGTTACTAGAATCAGGAGTGGAACTTAGACCTTTCTGCAGAACCCTTGAACCAACATAGAGCTGTATATGTGCCCTTTGGGGAATCTTCATGTTTGAAAAAGAATTCATTTGTCCCTCAACAATTGTTTCTGAATTCTATCAAAGAATTATCCATTTTGCTGAATATTCAATGACAAGTAATACTTACTCTCTAGATATACAATGTTAAGTAGTCACATGTTTTCTAAAATGACATAACACATAGACATGGACTTGGTGGAGCAGTTAAGTTGTATTATAATAAGGAATTGTAAAAATAGCACGCCACATTGATTCTTGGCAGGGCGGAGTCTTTCTGCCACAAAGTAAATTAGATCTGTGGGTGCCAACATCATCCAAAAAAAAAAAAGAAAGAAAGAAAGAAAGAAAGAAAGAAAACAAACCATTTTAATCCTAAAGAAAGAAAGAAAGAAAGAAAGAAAGAAAGAAAGAAAGAAAGAAAGAAAGAAAGAAAGAAAGACTTTTTTTTTTGTCTTTGCTGATTTATATTCAAAGTCTTGGTAGCATGTGCTTCACACAGCCATGCATGAGGCAGAGGACAGCCCAACTTTCACTCCTTTCTCCTTGGCATCAACAGTAGCTATTACCAAACCCAAACAGAGGGAATCGTTAGTCAGTCAGAGACAGGAAGGAATAACGAGAGGGAGGATTCAAGAGTATGCCTCAGAAACTCGGAGGGTTGTGGGACTACCATTACTTAGTGAGGCACACTTCAGTTTTTGTCTCCAGGGAGGCTAAGAATGCTGAGACAAGTACAGACCCCACTATTCTGTGACGAGGGGGCTGTCAGGAGCACTTGCAGAGTCTGAATGTCTAACAGAGACAGAAATGCCTTCTCTCTCAATACCGAGTGGATTGAATTTTGCTCTGGTTTTATTTCTGAATTAGGTCATTTGTAAATGGGGGTCAGTGGAGTTTTATGGAGAATAAGTGTTTTCCAAAGAGCTTCAGGGAAAGGCTGTGATGCTCATGTTAAATTGCTTATTTTTACTTTATCTTAAAGAAAATATTAAATCCAGTTTCATTGTCCAATTGTCGTAAGTTATAGTGACATCTGCATTCATATCTTTCGTTGATATTCCCTCAGGCTTCAAGTTCACATACCCGACTGCAATCAGTATTCTTGAGGTCTCCCAAGTATGTCCAAAATTTGCTACTTTTACCCCAATTTGTTTCTTTGCTTTTATTTCAGATTTGGGTAAAGCTACTGAAAGAAGTGTTTAAATCCTTCTTGCTTCCATATGTCTTATATTTTCTTCTTTAAGTGTTTCACTTATGCAAATTCTGTCTCACTTCTCTCCCCAAGTCCTCCCATATCCACTCCCCTCCTCCAATTTCCTTTCCAAAAATGTGTCCTTTTTTATTTTTCCTTTCTTTTCTTTTGCATTAATAGCTCACTGGGTCAGTTCTGTGCTGCTCGTATACTCATTGTTAGAAGGCCATTCATTGGAGTGTGGCTGAGCTACCAGGGGCCGTGTACTTAATGAAACTAACTTCCCCTCCCCAGAAGCCATCAGTTGTCTGTAGATCCTCAGCTAGGGGTAGGGATTTCCATACTGGAATGTCCACAGACTTGATCTTGTCCAGGCACCACAGAAGCTGTGGGTTTATGAGGGCAGAATATCTTGTCAAGAAGACATGGAGAGACTAATGGCACATTCTCACTCATGTGTGGATCCCAGTATTGATTCCCATCATTTCAGCATAGCATCTAGCACAGAAAGAGGGCACAGTGCATGGGGGTTGCATAACTCCAGAATGGATGGTTAGTTCAATTAGTGATTCCCACCAGCACTAAATCACAGTGACGATGTTCATGACTTACAACATGGCTGTCCCTTTGTCTCTTTTTAGGTAGTGTTATTTATGAGCTTTCCTGACTTTTAGGGAAAGGTGTCACTTATCTAGTTTCGACTACCTACAAATTCTTTAACATTCTTCACATGATTTCTGTGGTTGTTTTCTTTCAAAATGTTTGCAGGTTTCCGGAACTTACATATCGACGACCAGATAACTCTGATTCAATATTCCTGGATGAGCCTGATGGTGTTTGGCCTGGGGTGGAGGTCCTACAAGCATGTCAGTGGGCAGATGCTTTATTTTGCACCTGATCTAATCCTGAATGAGTAAGTTGTGACTTTTGGCATTCTTGTTATTATCACAGGCATATCTGTAGTATGATTTGGAAAACTACATTGCAGTAGATGATTGTGCGTTTAGTGTCCTCAGGGGAGAAGCTTTCCTGAAATACTTTCTGGGCATCACCTTGCTTGATAAGGTCATCCTTCTTTATTCATGTATACATACATGTATACATGTTGTGTTTATTTGTTAATTTCTTTTGTGTATCGTGAGTATGTAGGTGGGCACACATGCATACGGCATGGAGGTTAGAGGGCAAGCTGTGGAAGTCCTGAAAACTGAACTCAGGTTGTCTTCATTAACTGAGCCTTTTCACCGGGGCTTATTCATTTCTATCTATTGTGCATTGTGCTGAGGTTCATAAAGACACTTTTCAATAAGTGTATATATTTTGACACTGTCCTCCATCTCTGCATTCCCCTGCCAATCCTCTTCACTTCTCTAGACAGGTTTTTCTTACTTTTATGCTATATATAATATATTATTTAATAATATTTTATACATTATATATACCCTAGCTTCCACAAATGAAAGAAAATATATGTTATACTGAATATGACTTAATTTGCTTAATATATTGCCTAGTATCCCTTATCTGAAAAGAGCATAATGTCTTTCATAGCTGAATAAAGTTCATTATACATATGAAGTATATAGCAAACACACACACACACACACACACAGAGACACACGTATGTTTCTTAATGCATCTATAGCCTAGCTATTGTGACTCATATAGCAATGACCATTGATGTAAGGGTCTCTGTGATGTGTTGACTTGGAGGCCTTTGGATGAATACTCAGGAGTGTTTTAGCTAGGCAATAGGTAGATCTATTTCTAGTTGTTTGAGGAGCCTCTATACTGATTTCCATAAGCCGCTGGACCAGTTCTTATCGCCAGCAGAAGTTATAATGGCTCCTTCTGTCGACATCCTTATCAGCATGCTGTTTTTCTAACTACCATTCTGACTATGGAAAGATGGAATCTCAGTGAAGCTTTAATTAACTTTTCCTGGATGACTCAGAAGGGTGAACATTTTTCATGTATTTATTGGCCATTTGCACTCCATCTTTTGGGAATTGTTCACTTCATTAGCTCATTTGTTGATTTGGTTATTTTATTTCTTGATTTTTAGTTTATGATCCTTGCATATTCTAGATAGTAATCCTCTGTCAAATGTGTAGTTAGCAAAAATTTCCTCATATTTTTCAGGCTTTGTCTTCACTCAATTTTTCTCTTGTTGTACAGAAACAATTTAATTTCATGCAGTCCAAGTTGCCATTCTTCATATTATTTCCTGAGAATTTAGAGTCCTTTTCAGAAGGTTTTTTTATCTATGTTTATTTGTTTGAAAATTTTAGTTAAATCCTTTGAAATAGCTAATTTGATATTTCCTCTAGTCTTGAAATATGTTTTTTGTCTCAAACTAATATTTTTATTTTTTCAAAAACTGATATGTACATTTTTGTACTTGTGAAAATGTACTTGAAATGATGAAATAAATAAATATTTTTTTGCTTGACAGTATTGATTTACTTTAAGCTACTAAACAGAAAATATTCTGTGAATATTTTGATTTATTATATGGAAGTAAATAGTTTTCTGCATGTAGTCTGTAGAATGGTAAGAATTTGTCCAAGGTAATGTATACACTGCTCTAATGTGAATGTCAGGTTATAGGCATCTAAGTTGATAACTGACACTGTCTATTGTCTTCACAGTTGACAATCTTCATGCTTCTTTCATTCCTTTTTAACTTAGAGTCCCTTGAGATAGGCAAGGACTCAGCATCCTTCACCTTAACTGTTTAGGAACCTGCAGCGTGAGAGACCAGGGCTCCTCAGGCACAGGCCTGAAGGGCCAGGATTAATCTTGATCCTTCATCGTGGGTATCTCATTTTCATCCCACCAAGCCTATTAGCTGCGCTGACTAATGGCGACATTACAAAATACCACATGGCTGAGAGAACATCTCAGATAAGGGACTGCCATCTTCAGAGCTTGTATGACCCATTACAGCTGTGCTTACTAGCATTCTTTCATTTGTTTTCTGTGTCAACACGCATATCTCTTAGAAATATTCACAGTGCTAAAAATTTTCATAAACTGAAGCAGTCTATTAACTTGTGCACAAAATTATATTTACACACACAAATATACCTGCCATTCAGTAAACAAAGCACTTCCTGGTTCAAAATAGCTCAGTTCCTTCAGCATTGCTTTTTAGTAGACTTAGGTATTTACTATATGCAAGAAACTATTAATTTTAATCAATGTTTATGTTTTATCATTTTTATGTCTAAGTTTTCTTTGCCTTTGTGCCTTTGTGCTGCCCTATGAAAAAGTTTAGAGACACTTAAAATTCCAAATATTAACTTAGCTTATTAAATATATGATTAAATTCAACAGTGGTAAAGACAGTGGCTGAAATATTGTTCACAGACAAATTACATTCCTGCCTGGCTCATAGGCTGTGGTTTGTTTGTTTGTTTGTTTGTTTGTTTGTTTGTTTTTAATGTACTGTGTGCCACAAGACAAAGGATGAAGGAGTCTTCGTTCTACTCCCTGTGCCTTACCATGTGGCAGATCCCACAGGAGTTCGTCAAGCTCCAGGTGACCCACGAGGAGTTCCTCTGCATGAAAGTCCTGCTACTTCTTAATACAAGTGAGTACACATAGCACCTTACTTTAATTCACAAGGTAAGTGTCAAAAATATAACCGTAGGCTCACAGACCAGGCATAAAACTTAGATTATAACTGTGAAGGGGGACTTTTTAATATATTGTCATTGACCTAAAGAATGTGATTTGGCCTTTCTTCTGTTTATATTTTTCTGCCACATAAGACAAAAATAGCATAGCCACTTTTTATTTTACATAAAATATGATTACAAACTTATTTGATTATTCGGTTTTACAAACTAGCTAATCTGACATGAGCACAAACTATGCTTCCCATTAAACCTACCCATACACAGAAATATTAACTGCAACGCGCGCGCGCGCACACACACACACACACACACACACACACATACACACACACACTTGTTAGGAACTATTTTCAGTGAGTGGGGACAGTGTGACCGTTTCAGTAAATGGACACAGGGATCACTGACTTGGTGCTTCAGTAGTGTGAGTGTTACTCAGTGGTGGTGGAGGGCAGAGAACCAGGCAGGGAGGGGAGGGGAGAGCAGGAACAACAAGAAAGACTCAGCTTCCTCCCACATAGTGGCCACACTGTATCATGTGGCCTGGAGTCTTCTATTGCATCTGACTAGAAATGAACACATAAGGAGTGGGTGGGAAATTGGGTGCAATTGGAGGACAGCCCGGAGGAGAAGGCAACACATGAGTACAAAGTCATGCATTGACCAGGCATGCATTGACCTTTCTGGGCCCTCCCCAGCAGGTTCAGCCAGCAGCTGGATAATTGATTTGCAAGAGATTCCTAGGGTGCTAAAACCTTAGCTCCTTGAGGTAATCCCTGAAGTAATGGAAGTGTCTTTCTCAGCAGTGTCTTTCAGGGATTTCCACAAATGGTACAAATCTCAGGTGGCTGAGGAAGGGAGGTTTGGATGGGAAGGAAGAATCAGTTCTTTAGAAAGCAAGGTACTTCCGTGGAATCCACGTGAATGTACTTACATATCTTATGCACCCTGATGGAAATTTCGATAATATTTTGGCCAGTGAGGAGAGCTATGCAAAATGTTTGGAAAAGCATCTTTAAATCTAAAAGGATACGTAAGCTAGGATTACAAAGATGAAGAGGATTAGATGCCGCTGGCTTCTTACCGTCTATGAGATTGATGAGCACATTCATCTGTCAAACAGAAATTTGAGTTAGCTATGGGGTTTGGTTTGGAAGCTCTGGAAGCACATGGCTTTGAAATACCTACAGTCTGACGTAAGTGGGGAGAAGAGACTGTAGGCATTGTAGGCATACATGCTGCGCACCTGCACAGATGTGCGTACAAGAATTTCATGTTCATTGACTGTTGCAAAAATTACTCCCGAGATACCCCTGTATTTTTAGGATCTGAGAAGCTGAGAAGTAGAGAACAGCCAGCACAGATACAGGGGAAGTGCAGGGTTAAAGTCGGTACACGCTGTGGCTTTAACCTGGTTGCACATCTTTACAGAAATAGTGCAGAGTAAACACCACGAGTGTATGGTGTCATTACCTGAAGAGGTTTCATTATTTTTCTTTTAGAGCTACACATGGCTTCAGAAAAAGTTTTCTTGAGGCTGAAGGTCTGTGTGTAGAAGAGGGGAAGGCACAAAGCTGTGGGCTCTGGAAGCAGACTGTGGAGGGTGGAAAGTGGAGTGGAGATGTGAGAACTGGCAGTTTTATAAGATGCATGGAGGATTTGCAAGGAAAAGAGCTAGAGCTTGGATCAGTAGTAACAACAATGCCCAGCTCAGCCCCAGCACACAGATACACATAAAGGCAGACCAGATGTAAATACTTAAATTATTAGCTAACATACATGACAAAGTCAATTCCCTTTTAAATAAACAATCGAGGATAAATATTACCATCACTATTATTAGTTAATATTGTTATATAAGTGTTAAACAGTGCAATTAATTTATTGATAAATACTAGCTAACAGAACTGAGCATGTTGGCTCATGTCTATAATCCCAACACTTGGGAAGTGAAGGCCAGAGGATCAAGAACTCAAGGTCATTTGTAGCTACGTTGAGTTTGAGTCTAGCCTGGGCTACATGAGACCCTATTAGAAGGAAGGAAGGAATAGGAATGACAGCTGACAGCTACAATTATGAGACAGGGGATGATAGAAACACTATTAGAAATATACCAAGAAAACAAAGTAGCTGAGCTTAATAGTTGCCAATGAATATAAAATAAATACAAATATGATCAACTTTTCCCTTATCAGCAGGAAAGCAATAATAAAAAATATAATAAAGAAATGTTAAAATTAAAACAAAGAGATAGTTTCCAAGGTCAGTCTTAATAAGAAATATTTGAGATTTACATGAAGAAGACAAAACTATGTAAAAAATAGAAATAGCTGTTCAAAACAATCAATCAATCAATCAATCAATAAGATCCAGAATAGAGCCGTAAATTAAATAAAACTAGATATTTGAAGCAAGACTATATAATAATGTCAAGAGCTCTTTACAGTTAATGCTACATTAAATAGGTACAAGTCTGAAGTGGTTCATATATTCGTTGACAGTCAAAAGATGTCTATGTTCTGATTATACCAATTTTATCCTTTTTTTCTATTTAAATCATTTCTATTTAAAATTATATATATATATATATATACATATAAACTTAGAAACTATATAAAATATGTTAGTTGTCTGGCTCAGAAATTTATTCATTGCTAGTGTCATGTTTTTACCATAATTGCCACTTTTTGTTAATTTTGCACAGTTCCTTTGGAAGGACTGAGGAGCCAAAACCAGTTTGAAGAGATGAGGTCAAGCTACGTCCGAGAACTGATCAAGGCGATAGGCCTAAGACAGAAAGGGGTGGTCCCCAGTTCACAGCGCTTCTATCAACTTACCAAACTTCTCGACAGCTTGCATGATGTGAGTATTTCTGTTTTTCAGATAATTGTTGAGAATTCTGTGAAGTTCTCTAATCCCTTAAATAGTTACGTGAAGAATTCTGACATTTAGTAAGCATTTTCATTTTTAGACAGCTCTGGACCTAAGCGTAGGGAACTGTGCCATTAACATAATCGATGACAACTAGAAGCAGCTATATCCTAGACAGTCCCTCTTAGATGTGTCCAAAGGCTTACCTTCTGGGTCCTTCTAGAGCTTGCTAAGTTGCTGACCAATATTAGTCATCACAGTGTGATTTCCCCAAAGTCTTGTTTGTAGTGGGTTTTAAAACACCATATACCATACTGTTATGTCAATGTTAACCTCTAAATTTACTATTGTGTCTATAGAATTTAATGGCCAAGACAAATAATCATACATTTCCTACAATAGATTCTAAAATATATTTTTGCTTCAAATACTAATAGAAAAAAATGCTGTTATGCCATTTTTTTGCATGAAGACGTGTATATGAACATTGCACTAACATGCAGAGATCATACATGAAGGAAGACAGTTTAAAGCAAAAGAATCATGAAATCGGGACTGCACAGATAGCCTATACAGCTGTCTTATTTGGTGTTCTGTTGCTGTGAAGAGACAGCATGAGTAAGTCAATTTTTTGAGGCATTTTTTAAAATTTTTATTGATTAGTTTATTCACTCTGTATCCCAGCTGTAGCTCTCTCCCTCATCCCTTCCCAATCCCACCTTTCCTCCCTCTTCTTCTCCCATGGCCCTCTCCCAGTCCAGTGAATGGGGAGGTCCTCCTCCCCTTCCATCTGACCCTAGGCTATCAGGTCTCATCAGGACTGGCTTCATTCATTGTCTTCCTTTGTGGTCTGGTAAGACTGCTCCCACCATAAGGTGGAGGTGATCAAAGAGCCAGCCACTGAGTTCATGTCAGAGACAGTCCCTGTTCCTATTACTGGGGAACCCACTTGGACACTCAGCTGCCATGGGCTACATCTATTTAGGAGTTCTAGGTTATCTCCATGAATGGTCCTTGTTTGGAATGTCAGTCTCACAAAAGATTCCTGTGCCCAGATTTTTTTTTTTTTTTTTGGTTCTGTTGCTCTCCTTGTGGAGCTCCTGTCCCCTCCAGGTCTTTCTATCTCCCCCTTCATTCATAAAATTCCCTGAACTCTGCCCAAAGTTTGGCTATGAGTCTCAGTATATGTTTTGATACCCTCCTGGTTAGAGTCTTTCAGAGGCCTTCTGTGGTAGGCTCCTGTCCTGTTTCCTGTGTTCTTCCTCTTCTGATGTCCATCCCGTTTGCCTTTCTGAATGAAGATTGAGTATTTTACCCAGGGAGCTCCTTCTTGCTTAGCTTCCTTCAGTGTACAGATTTTAGTACACAATGGAATACTACTCAGCAATTACAAACAAGGAAATCATGAAATTTTCAGGCAAATGGTGGGATGTAGAAAAGATCATCCTGAGTGAGGTATTCCAGAAGCAGAAAGACACACAAGGTATATACTCACTTATAGTGGATATTAGATAAATAATATAGGATAATCATACTAAAATCTGTTGTGCCATTTTGTGTGTATTTGTAAACACTCTTGGTAATGGCAACCAGGTAAGAGCTCCATGCTTTCCAAAAGTCCATTCAAACGCATGAAGATATCATAAATCTTCAAATTTTTTCTAGGTTATTGTTTGTATACTCTGCTGTGATAAGCAGCCCAGAAATGCCCCAATCCGGAGCTGCATTAATAAAATTGGAAACATATATATGGTTAACTGAGACATATTAAGTACAGCTTTTATTGCTGCTGTATAGGAAACTGCATAAAAATGAGGGTCATAGACATAAAATAGCTACCCACTCACCAGGTCAGTCTGTGAGCCTGAATTTTCAACACATTTCAAAGACAAAGAGCTATTTGAATTAAAACTTTGTAATGAAAAGCAGAGAATAAAGTAAGCTTAACAGAAATAAGCAACATGAGGAATAAAGCATCAGTACAGAAGACAGAAGAAAAATTCACAAAGTCTCAAAGAAACACAATAGTACTGTGTCAAAGAAAGAACAGAGAACCTTCAAAAAGGAACCTTTAGCATACATAAATAAATATATGAAACTTTGGGATAATTAAATGCAAAAGAGAAGACATTAAAATTCAATAAAAGTCATGAAACACAAAGGAAATTCTCAGTAGAAAATAATTTAAAACATAAGACATGATAAATAGGAGAAAAAAGGTAGGCTCTTAGAAGATCAGTCATGTAGATTTCATCCTCAAACTCAAATTAATAGCAATTTATAGGGAAAAGGGAGAAATAAAAGCAGGGATTATAAAAGTTGCTTAACTTGAAGGATATGGGTTCTCTTTTTCTTATTTTTATTCCTCATTTTTGAGGCACGGCCTTGCTATGTAGCCCATACTGACCGTCAGCTTGTAGCAGTCCTCTGGACTTGTGTCCCTGATCTTTGCTAAAGATGTGGGTTCTCTAACTCTAAGGGACTAGACTATGGGCACTGCACAATTGATTCAAGGTACAGGATACCAAGAATGAGAAGGATATCCTCAGCGTGCCAGTGAGAAAAGAAACAGGTCATATGCATATTCCCAGCATTCTGAGTGACAATGGCTCTATGGCAGTGCCTAGTGAGGGGCGTCTTTAGGATCTTTTTTTTAAATTTATTTTTTATTAATTACAGTTCATTTACTTTGTATCCCCCCTGAAGCTCCTCCCTCTTCCCTTCCCAATCCCACTCTCCCTCCCCCTTCTCCACCCATGCCCCTCCCCAAGTCCACTGATAGGGGAAGTCCTCCTCCCCTTCCCTCTGATCCTAGTCTTTCAGGTCTCATCAGGACTGGCTGCTTTGTCTTCCTCTGTGGCCTGGTAAGGTTGCTCCCCCTCCAGGGGGACATGATTAAAGAGCAGGCCAATCAGTTCCTGTCAGAGACAGTCTCTGTTCATATTACTATGGAACCCACTTGGACACTGAACTGCCATGGGCTACTTCTGTGCAGGGGTTCTAGGTTATCGCCATCTTCAGGATCTTGATGAAAGGAAAACCATCAGCCAAACAGTCAGGCAATTCCAATGCCACCATAAAAGTTTTACAGAATTTATCTTAGATATAACCTTTCCTGGGAACTAGTTAGGATGTGTTAAAACAAAAGAGCTGGAGGCAAAGCTGATCAGGCCAGGAAGTATGCATGGTGATGTCCCAGCATAATCACTAGGAGGAGCTTTAGGAAGCCTCTACTGGATCAGTAAGATAGCACTCTAGAACACCAGCTCCAGGGTGAAAGGGGGTCAGGGGATTGCTAATACACACTATCTTATTAAGGCGATTTTTCACAGTCCTTCAGAGAAGCTGATTATGGCTTTGTGACAAGTGAAGAGAAAAATAGAGGAAAGAAGATACATGGTGATGAGATCCTGCAAAATAAAAAAGGACAATGAAAGCAATGAAACGCCATATATTAAGAGACAATACCAATCTTTCTAGTAAAAATGCAGTCTACTGATTTAGCCAAGAATGGAGATATAATAATAGGAAGATGCCTACCAAGGAGCTTCTGGATTTTGCTTCTGCTGTTTCTCTTTGTGATCCTTCTTGCAGTAGTATGAGACTTTTAAAATTGTGTGCATAACATATTTCATTAAAATGGAAGTTGAGCCTGTTAGAAAAGGTCTGTAGTTCCAGGTGTTTAAGAGGCCAGTGCAGGGAGCTCACAAATTCACAGGCTCCTCTGAACTACTGGGAAACTTTTCAGCGGTCTGGGTCACTTAGAAAAATCCTATTTCAAAGTAAAAAGTAAATATTAAAAAGAAGCTGGCTGCATTGCTCAACAGTGTGCTGCTTAGATCTCATGCCAGAGATCCTGGCATCATGATTCATGTTGGGTTTTTGACGTAGAAGCAGTGCATTGTTGTGTAAAGGTCTGACTAAAAAATACAATTTATGAAATAATTGCATTTTGAGGGTGTATATTTTTAAGTATTTGCACACTATGTGTATGTCTGCATATATGCATAAAAGAAAAAGTGTTAAAATTAAATCAAAATGCTTACTTTACAACTTGGAAATATAGCTGATTTTCATTAATTTAAACATTACACATTTGGGGCTGGAGAGATGACTCAGCAGCTCAGAGTCTGCTCTTGCAGAAGGCCTAGGTTCAGGTCCCAGCACCCACATGATGGCGCACAGCCATCTGTAACTCCAGTTCCAGTACATCTAGTGCCATCTGCTGGCCACCACGGGCACCACATGTAAGGGGTGCAATTCATTAATGCGGGCACTCAGACACCTAAGACAAAAAGAAACAAATCTTTCAAAAGCCATATTATCAGCGTGCACAATTATGAGTATAAGACATTTTTCATATTACCCTGGAGCATGGAGAGAGTCATTGGCACATAGACAGGAATTTCCAGCATTAGAAAAATAAGTTATCTTACTTGAACAGTGTGCGCGTTTATTGTTTTTCTCACGTTTTCTACCCACCTGTTGAACCGGCAGCTTGTGAAACAGCTCCACCTGTACTGCTTGAACACGTTCATCCAGTCCCGAACACTGGCCGTCGACTTTCCGGAAATGATGTCTGAGGTCATCGCTGCACAGTTGCCCAAGATCCTGGCGGGCATGGTGAAGCCTCTCCTCTTTCACAAAAAGTGATGACTTTTCTTTGTCTTCTTGAATTGAATGTTGTGGCGTGTCTTCTTTATTTCCTTTAGGATGGTCGGGTCTTGTGTCTTTATAATGTTCTTCTGAAAGCCTTACGTGTATACCTATCACACTGTAAATTTATGAGAAAACGTGGGAGATTCTGACTTTCCTTTGTAATGCGTAAGCGGAGTTTTTAAAGTGTTTTGAGGGTTTATATGGTTAAAAAGTGGCTAAAACTAACTGTATATGTAATCTATATCTCATCTCTTTTATTTCATACTTTTCAAGTACGGATCTTTAACTTTTGCATCTAACAAATCTTCTTTAGAGGAGAGAAACACCCCTACCTTTAGCAGGCTACCACGCAGGCTGCTGCTAGGTAGTTCCTTTGATCTCGATCCTTATATTTCCAAAACTGAACCTTTAAAATATCAGCCAAGATTGTAACCTGAAACAGATTTTCAAAGGGTTTTTAATGAAAAAAAAAAAAAAAAGAATCAGAAACAGAAATAGAAATGAAATGATGTTTTTGAGACGAGGCAAACATTGTTAAGTGCTTGGTTGGAAGCAGATTCATGACAGAGATAATACCAGCCATACAGTTGCTGTAACATTGTTGAGGGTGGGTCTGAGGGAGAGGATTCCTTATTAGGCCTGTGACTAGACAGGGAAGTCAGGTCTGTTCTCTCACTGGAATCCCTACTGTTGGCTGACCTTGCAAAGTCGGTTACCCCTTGGTAGTTCTCTGTCCTTGTGTTTTAGAGTGGTATGACAGCATCTTTCATGAAAAATGCTTCCTTGGGCCAGATCTTATTGGCATTTTATCAAACAAGGCTGGAAGGGAAGGAGAGAGAAATAAAGGGAGGGAGAAAGGCGGGGGGAGAGGAAGGTAAAATACCATTCCTTTCTTGGATAGTGTTTTTCATCCTTGAAGGAAATATAGCCAATGTATCTCAGGTGGAAAATATTTTTAGTGCCTCTAAATCTGAAAGAGATGCTTTAGAAATGGAAAAGTCTCAGGTAGAAAAGTTTTGAGTGCCTATGACCCAACAGTGAGTTGTTTCAGGAAATCTTAGATACTTGCTTACAATAATACAACCAGGTACAGTTATGATAAAACACACAATTCACTTTGCCATTTCTACTTAAAATGTTTATTTGAAATGCATACACTAGTTCTTTTCCTAGGTTAGTCACTGGATATACGTTAGCTAAAAAAAAAAAAAAAAAAAAAAAAAACAACAACAAAACACATTTACCAAGTTCACACCACTAGTGAATTCAGTAAAAGTCAATTACTGTTTGCTTTTATTGACATTGATATCAATTCCAGTCATAACATATATATATGTTATGACATGATATATATATATATATATATATATATATATATATATATCCTGTTAAAAACATTTTCCCAAATTTTCTTTAAAAGTATTTTTGTTGTTTTATAAATAAAATATGCACATTGATAAAAAAATAACCTTTAAAGATAATATAGAAAAATTGCAAAATGCTTTCTAGTTTTTAATTACCTATTTTTAAACCATTGAATGCTTAGTTTACCAAGAGACAGTGCAGATCAATATTGCCAACAAATATTATCATGACCATCAAAGCAAAGATGTTTTCGTCTGATCAAAAATCAGCCCTCATATTACTATAAGTGTCCTAACAATAAATCTCTAAATTAAAGAAAAAAGAATCGACTATGGCGTAGCCATAAATAATAAGTTCTTTGACACATTTCAAATAGGGATTGAAGTAAGGACTAATCCGGACTGTGGCTTGTGTCCCTTTCCTGCATGTAGAAATTGTAACGGCTTACCCGCACAGCAGTACCTTGGATAGAGCTGTCAATCAACGTTTTACCCAAGTCTCTTCCTAGTGGTGTACATGCCTTCTTGTGCAATATGTCTGATACACATTACACTCTTGACTGGGGCTTGGTTCTTCGTAATCTCCATACATACATGCACGTTCTCACTTCACATTTCAGGCCAAAGGCACCATCTTGAGAAAGGATCTGATTCCTTAGGCTATATCCTTTGATTGGTCAGCTTACTGTGCTGCTGTTATGTTCCTGCTCTGACAATCTTCATATAGGAAAACAAAACAAAACAAAACAAAACAAAACAAAACAAAAAAGAGAGAAAAGGAAAGGAAGAAAAAATTCTGCTGTAATTTCTGCACTCTGACTCCAGACCCACACATGTGTCTCATTTCTGTGAAGTCTTTTCCAGTCTGTCACACAGCAGTTTGATAGGCTCTGTTTCCCTGTAGCTGATTAAATTACAGCAGTATGTAGCTGCTCCGCACTGATGGTCTGCAGGTCTGGGTGCTGCGCTGAGGAGAGTCATAGTGTTTCTTGACAGAGTTGGCAGTCACATTCGTCCTGTTGCTGTGGGTCTCCTGAGCACCATTGATAAGTCACTTCTCATGGCTTTATCACTCGTTTTATCTGCAACTTTGTTTATCTTCATTCTAGCCTGTCTTTTCCCTATCCTGTGATAACTTGCCTTTTTTGACTACAACATGGGAGCACATTTTACATGATATCAGGAAAAAAAAAATGGTCTGTTTCCTGTTCTGAACTTTACAACAGAATGTTTCCTTCCCTTTAAAAGGTTCTATAGACAGTTAAGTACTCTGACATTGTTTTATATTGCAAAGCTCAATGTAAAACATTCCCTTCATTTCTGATTTTATTTAACAGCGTAAGAAATGTGTGAATAAGATTTAATAGAACCTGGAGCTGAAGAAAAACTGCATATAACTCAAGAAATTATAGCCCAAGAAGAGTATAAATCTAGTGTCTGCTAAGTAGAGGGCCATCAGATACGTGTGGTATATTGCATTCTTAAGGTCGGATAGGTCAAGGCATTATTTATGTGTAATTTGAATGAGATAAGTGCTAAAAAAGATAGTATCTTTAAATTAATAGTTATTTAATCTAGGCAACTTACAGCAATTCATTTGCTTTAAAGTTCTGTGTGCATTTGTTTATTGCAAAAGCTTTCAATACCATTTTCCAAAAATACAATCACGATAAAATTATTTTTTAAAGTTTAGCAAATAGAATACTTAGGGGACTTTTTCTTCTGTGGCAGTTGTATGCGTTGTGAGAGATTGGTGAATGAATGCAGCCAAGACCAATGTCATGGGCTCTTTTATACGAGTAATGGACCCTGGAACACTGAATGCAGTGATTATTCAATCATTTTTTTCTTTGATTAAAAGACTAATTTGATAGTAGTCATCTCTGTATATCAACACAGTTAATTTTCAAAATAATGAAGATCTTCTAATATCATTCAACAAGGGGGAAATAAAGTGTGTTTGCCCCAGGGCCGGATTTTATTATGGCCCTTGTTTTGTAACTGCCTAAAAACATTTGATATTCCTGATCTTGATCTCCAACACTAGGATTTAGTATTTAAGGCTAATCTTAAAAAAAAAGAAAGAAAGAAAAACATTCCCAGAAGAGTATGACATGACCAAATGGAAGTTATCTCATCTCTGAATCTTTTACTCTGCAATTTCCAACTATGATGACTCCATTCCAATGTAGTCATCGTACTCTTTATCTCCATTCTGCAGGTCATGCTCTTTGGGTTTCTCTAAAGTTAAGTTAAAGCATAAGAACACAGAAAATACTTGAATGTCATTGAAGCAGATTTTTTACTTCATGATATATTTCCTTTATAAAAGTTAGAAAAATGATTTGTGTCTAAAGAGATGATGTGTCCAGTATCAATTATTTTGTGGAACTATTTCATTTCTGGTGATTAAAGAACTTGGCACCTTTTCCATTGTATTCTTTTTTTTTACATTTAACTTTAAATTTTACTATTGTACAGGTATAAAATAAAATATTTTTTGAATAGCCACAGTAAATCAACTTGTAGCTTCTAAATTATTGCCAACTATAGCAATGGAATTAATGATGTATATAAAAGACTAAACTGGATTCTGCTCACTTCTTGGTCATTTACTGGCTACTTGAGTGTAAGATAGAGCTAATTCATTAAACCTTACCCAAATCTTTTGCATATATGTATACATATATACAGGTGTTTAGAAATAGCAATTTCCATAATTCCATCTTTACTATGCCATAATTTTGGTTGTAATTTTGTCAAACTAATCAGTTCTCTGCACTAATGAAACCAGAAATTTGGAAAATTTGGTTGTTTTTCTACTCCCCCTGTTTACTAGGAAGTAGTTATTAATTTGAAATGTATTTTTTCCCTAAAAAATATAGTCCCGAGTTTAGGTCCTGATTCATAAAAAATATAAAGAGCACATCACTCTTTTCTTATAATATCTAATAGTAATAGTGTTAATTTTTTATATTTTCCAGTAACTCTTAAAATTCAAGACAGCTTAAGCAGAACAGAGCTCCTACGCTAAAATTTATTCCCGTCATGGCACTAACTCTATCTACAACATCTGACACTGGGATCCAAACTCATGATGAAGTGAACTCCCAAAACAGCACTGCTTTCTGCTTATGCTAAGAGCTCTCCTTGCCCACTTGATGTCATAGCTTTAATTTTGCTGAACTGCTACAGTTTCAGTTTTTGCTGTGAACATCTAGGCAGCTCAGGCCATCTCTGTTTGCCCTTATCAATCAGATTCCAGGCTGGAATATGAACCCTTTAAATATCCTTGAAACTCCATAGCCTCATATATAAGAAGCTCTCGATAATATGGGTTCACAATTAAAGATACCTTATTTTTTCTTCACTCCATAATCCAGCAACCACTGTCCTAAGGTTACAGTAGTTGGACAAGAAGAAGACTCCAGGGAAGGCCCAGGTTTCCCTTTTCCGTGATGTGCCTATTGGACATAGAAAACATTCATCTCTTAAATTCAAAAAACAAATTCAAAGGCAGGAAATGTGTGTCGACTCCCAAGTTGCTCGCACACACTAGACTAGGTCACGTTATACTTTTCATGAGCAGAAGGTTGCCAGAGCTCTATGACAACCAGGGCTCTGTTGTCTTTATTTGAGGTTGGGCACCAAGTACAATGTCCGCCTCCTCCTTCTTGTCTGCCTGCCACTTCTTTAGCATAACACAACCCTGCCCTTTAAAGTAAAAATGAGTAAAAAGCCATAGAGTAGCTGTCTGTCCATGGGACGAAATACAATTGACTATGAATTACACTCCACAGCATGATGTGAATCCAAGTTGAACAAGACCTAGACAAACAGATTCAAGGTGAATCTCACAATTCCTTAGACTCAGGGAAAAATCCTGCAGACACCAGGTCCCTGCATTACCTGTCTCCAAAGTTAGGTCTTCAAAACTGAAGCTAACTGCTGTATGTGTCGATACCTTCCTGGAACCCCAGGACTGTGCAAGCTGAGGAAGAATTGCACAATCCAAACCAGCCTGGGCCACACAGTTAGACTTTGTCTCCATTTTTAAAATAAAATGCAGAGTAGTTTCCTTTCATTATTTATCCTTCTCTTCCCTTGAAGAATGTAAGCGTTTATGGGGCATTAATGACAAGTTAAGTAACAGCGATAGCATGGTTACTGCAAAGGGAGGAAAAGAGGATTGCTCTCCTCCTAAAGCTGACAAGATTCCAAAGCAGGCCCTGGCCCTGACTGGAGGCTGCTCCCAAGCTCCTGCAAGCTCCTGCAGCTGGGGAGCCTGGAAAACTCTTGCAGGCTTGCTGGATGAGTCCCAGAATGTCAACCTCATTTTCAGTTTACTGGCTCTGGTTGCCTTGTGTCACGCTGACCTTACTGTTAAACACAGGTTTGTTTGCCTTCTTACGACTTGTGGCAAGATGGGGGAAGCATTACTTTTAAGCTGGTCGAAAGCTTTTAACTGACAGGGCACTTTCAGAGAACTGGGAAGAGGCCAGCCATGAAAGGCCACTCTGCCCAGTACTTCCAGGAAGCTGCATCATATTAGGTTTCTGGGGTGACATCGGTGTCGTGGTCCAGATTTAGACAGATATTAGTAAAATATGTAAGCAGCTCTGTAAATCGTTTTCCAGAATACATTGTACCTTAGTTTTTAACCGCCTTTTGAAATTGCTCTTAATACATTAACTCCAAAAGTAGCCAATTTCCCAAACATTACTTTTTCCAAACATTATTTTAAATGAGACTCATTTAAATAGGATTTTCTCTTGTGGGGAACTTATGATGCTTAACACTTCTTGATCTATAGTGGTAACTTTCTT